CCCTGGCAAGCTGCTCGTTAGCCCCAAGCCCAGCGATGAAATAATCTCCTGGGCAAAGAAAAATCTCACCTGTGGATACCCAGCACGGCGAGCTGATTTACAGGAGGGAGATGCTCTGCCTTTCTTGCTGGGTTGTACATTTCTGGCTGCCTCGTGGCAAATGTGTATAAAACTCCTCTTTCTTCTTCTGTCCTCATGTCCCTTCCTCGATGGCCGTATCCCTGGGGCGCTTCTGCATGCAGTACATCCTGCTGCTTCCATTCACTAGCCTTTGGGGTCAGGGTAGATGTAGGGCAAGCGGGACTCGTCCCATGGCAGAGCTGGGAGGGAGCACCTTCTTGGCTGGTGGCCAGCGGGATTACTTGCCCCAGCGCGGAGCACCTGAGCGCCTTTGCTCACCTGGGAGCCCCAGGTGTGCTGTAAGCTGGAGCTCTCTCTGGAGCTGTGGCTTCCAGTTCCACTTGTCCTTGCTCTCTGTGACACCTGGTAACACCTCAGGCACACGCGGACTTTTTCTAAGGAGAGCAAAGCTTGCTCTGCAGTGCCAGGCCCCCTGTGACATGGAACAAGATGTACTGTCCCCACCTCCCTTCCTCTTCTGTTTGTGGGATGTCCTACTTCCTCGGGATGTTGCCATTCTCAATAAATTGCAGAGAACATTCACTATGTCTTTGTGTCATTGGTTTGGGAGCCACTTCTAGGCCAGGTGGTTTTAGTTGTTGGGGAAGGAACTTGGTGGGAAGGTGTGGGTTGTTCTTCTGTTCACCGTGTCGTGACTGTGCTTTGAGGGAACCGAATGGGTGTGCGGATGGAGCTAGGGACGTGTCCAAGCATGGGTGATGCCTCTTGACTCTTATCAGTCATCACAGTGCCTGAAAGCACAAGCCCATACCTGGAATGGTGGGGTTATGAATGCTCCAGTCAAGCAATGTGCAGCAATTCAGCTGTGGCAGGAGCACCGTCCTAGAATTCAGGGCTCAGCCATTTGATCAGCCAATGCATTTGAGCTCCCTCTCATGACATTCCCTTCTGATCATCTCCCAGTGGAGCACGTATGTGTCATGGGATATGTGTTAAGGGGCAGTGGCATTGTGGGAGGTGGTGGGAGGGCAGGGTTACAGCTGCCTGTAAGCATGGATATGGACGTTGGCCAAGCGCCTACCCTCTGGGGTACAAGCAGGCTGTGGCCAGGCAGGCTGCACAGCTCGGCACCCTACGAGCACCAGGACTGCTTGAGAACCACTAACTCATCCTCCCCTTCACTGAACAGTTCCAGTGGGAACACGGAGGGCCGGGAAGGCACGATTCATCCCCAAACCGTGGGCACAGGGACCCATCAGCTCCTTTGAAAAGTCAGCTGAGACCCCCCAGTGTCTCCTTGTTACATTGAGAGCAAGTGGGAGAGCTTTGGTGTAGCTCGAGGAGGGGCTATGGGGGAAGAATGCTGGTGTGTTTGATGCGTGCTGCAGTTCCTCCACCACAAGAAGAGATCAAAGAGACAGAAACCGCTTTCAGGAGTGGTTCTGGAGTCCCACAACAACCTGTTGTGAGCTGCCAGTGTCCCCGTAGCAGGTCAGGAAGCTGCAGAGCAAGGAAGAGGTCCAGGCAAGGCAGTGGGGAATGGTTACAGGGCTCTCCGAAGAGGACCTTCAATGTGCTTTGAAGCCCAGCAGAGGTGTGCTAGGGCTGGGGAAGGTGGTTGGGTTTGGCCCAAACAGAAGACGATGAGAAGGCAGTGCCTCTGAGAAGCTGGGGCTGTGCCAGGAGCACTTTGGGGTTTGGCTTGGGGCAAGAATCACCTGTTTTTGTTCTTAATTTTAAGACTTTGTTTCTTCTCAGCTTTAAAATCTGAAACACAGCGTCATAGGCATTGTTGTGAGGAACCATTGCGACATCCTCCTCTATGCTGCCAGAATCTCCTTGCTGTGTGAGATCGGAAGCTGCAGCCTGGCTTGGTCTCCATCTATGTTTTCTGCAGAGTTTACATTTTGCCCGGTCTTGATAATTTCACTGCATACAACTCCTTGTGTAAGAGATCTGAAGGAACGGCTGGAGCCTAGGTTTGGTATTAATTCTTAACTGTAGGAGGCTGAAGTGACTCCAGGTTTGGTATAATCTTCGCATCTTGTCTGAAGACGTCAGGGTGACTCAATCTGGGCGTCTTATCTGTACCTGCTGAATGTGGTCAGCATCCAGGCATTTGGCTGACTTGACAGATCTTCCCCCTCGTCGTGGAGCCGCCATGTGGGACGTTACAACCAAGTCACACCGCCTTCCGAGAAAGGCAGCTACCGCGCGTTTGGCAATCTGGAGGGAGGCCATGAGAAGAGGCGACCTCTTTTCTCTAACTAAGAACCCAGTTACCCTACACCTCCCTGGGACTGCTCATCATGAGCAAGTGCACTCGACTCCAGAATCGCCTGGAGCCCTTAAGTCTCCGTTTTGGAGATAACAACCGAGAAATAGGACCCCCTTCAGTCAAGCTGCTTATGAGCGCGAAGGTGTCCCCTCCCTGCTGTAGGGATGGCTGCCCGTTCTCCACCTGCAGCCTGTTGCAGAGGGAAGGCCACACACATCTGGATAACCCTTGTCCAACCGTGACTTGTGTCCCTCAAGGGTAGGATGAACCCTTGTCCAACCGTGACTTGAGTCCCTCAAGGGTAGGATGAACCCTTGTCCAACCATGACTTGAGTCCCTCAAGGGCAGAATAATCCTTGGGCAACCATGACTTGAGTCCCTGAAGGGCAAAATAACCCTTGTCCAGCCGTGACTTGAGTCCCTCAAGGGCAGAACAACCCTTGGCCAACCGTGACTTGAGTCCCTCAAGGGTAACGTCCTCCACTCCCCTGTGCCCCGTTCTGTGAAGAGACTGTGGTGTCAGGCAGCCTCCCTCTCAGGGACACTCAATGGCATTTCCATTTCTGATTCCTCTACTGGCCTTTGAAAGTGACTCTGTGGGGTGGTTTTTCGAAGGGTTTGAAGTGTCTGTGGGTGAAGGCTGGTACCTAGTGATACTTTCAAACAACATTTAGTTGCCCAAGTCTTATAGGAGACAGTGAAAATTCCTTATGAATGTAGAAGTTCATACTTAGATCTTTTGAATAACCTTAAATTTATGTTCATCATTGTTTTAAATCTTTTGAAGGGTTCTTTCTGAATCTGTAATGTATATTTTCTCTGTCACTTTTTGATTACTTGTGCTGGCTATTATCTACAGAAAGTGTGAACAGTCATTTTATATTTCACTCACTAACTTAAATATTAATATATAGTATTTAATTGATAACATCCAGACAGATAATACCTTCAGAATGACTTCTAAACAGTATTTACAGACCCCAGTTTCCTTTTAACCAGCATCTATAATCTAGCTTCTTCAGAACACTGCACATCAGTATCATTGTATATTTTCTAGCATAATCTGGAACCTTATGATTCATTATTTAAAATTTCATTTACATGCAATCCAAAAATGGGCTTCTTTATTTCAGAGACATCCTACAGAATACATTTCTAAAATATGTTCCTTTCCCAGCAGAATATTTGAAATCAAGAGGATATACTATGCCTTAGAAGTTGTAATAGCTCCGTTTCTCAACATGTTTTTCCATTTCAGTTGTCTCATCTTTGGAAAGAACCAGGGAAACAAGAGGTCGGCAACATTCACCTGAGCAGGAGGAACCCCTCACCACCTTGAATTGTTCATCTGTCATTCCGCTTCTGTAGTGCTTGTCTGTCTGTCCCCAGCCATCGTCACCGAAGCAGCTGCCTGACGCGTCCCTTCGTTCCTCCACAGGTCGTCATTCCCCGTCACCTTCAGAAGAGAAGAGAAGGAGTGCGATGATTCAGGTTGCCTTGTTCACTCTGCTCCAGCATCATCCAAGGTCCCAGTTAGTTGTCACAGATTTGGGGAGATACAATTGGAGGGAATTTAATCCACAGGGAGAAGACACTCCCATTCAAAGTGACACCGTGTGCACTCCAGGGAGATGTAATTCCTTTCTAGCAGGAGAATATGCTGAGTCTCTTCAAACTTTGGTGTCATGAGTTCTTGTTCAAGATTGGGAAACTTCTTCTAAAATGCCAAAGGCAGTTCTACATATAAAAAGGGGATTTAGGGTGTGTTTAAGGAATTGTGAAAGCTATATTATAGTTGGGATTTCATCAAAACTTCTCCTACAGTGGAGCTTTGATTGGAAAGATCTATATCTGGAATTATTGGGAACCATTAATGAAGGCTGGAAATCCAATGAGGGGCTGCAGAAAAGCACATTATCTTGAAAGTTAATTTCTAAGATGTCATAAAGATACAAGAGTCCACTTAGTCACTGAGACCTGTTTCAATGTTCTCGTTCTTTTATTCACTTCTATATTGCAGGGTGTGTTTATAGGCAGGCCCAAATATGGTAAAGCTCAACTGAGAATCTGTCAACAACACCACGCTGATGAAAATAATAAATTGGTTTCCACCTTCACGCCCAGCCCGTCCCAGCCCACCTCCAGAAGCGGATAAAAGGGAGCGCCTGAAGCTGTGGAGCCAGAGAAGACTGTGCAGACTTCTCTCTGCATTCATCCCTCAGCAGCACAGCTCCGTTGGTCTTTCTGCTCTTCTTGATTTTGACTCTGCTTGGAAGGAACAGCCATGTCTCAAACCTGATTGATTTCTCAGGTCTCTGGATGAGTGAGGAGTGTCTAGTTCCCTCTACACCTCTGTTTCCCAATTTCAGGCCTCTTTGCAGAGGTCTTTTCCAGGCATGAAACTTTCACGAGGTGATGAAGGGATCTGGGCAATAGGTGCTGAAGAGACTTTTTTTTTTTAATAATTCCACTCCAAATTTCTGTGTTAAAGCATCCCAGGCTCTATTACTGCTAGTGCCAATGATCAGGGAAACAGCCCTTTTCTGTGGATGACTGAGAAGACAACTCCAGCCATGCCCTGCCTTGGGGGGGGGTGGGGGGGGGTGGGGGGGGGTGGGGGGGGGGAATGAGCTGTGGAGGAATGGGTGGTTATGGTGGAGGAATGGGAGGCTTTGGTGGAGGAATGGGTGGTGGTGGAATGGGTGGCGGAGGAATGGGTGGCTTTGGTGGAGGAATGGGCGGTGGAGGAATGGGTGGTGGTGGAATGGGTGGTTTTGGTGGCCCTGGCTTCTCTGGAGGCATCCATCCGGTGCAAGTTGACCAGACCCTCCTGCGGCCAGTCCATGTTGAGATTGACCCCCAAATCCAGCAAGTGAAAAACCAGGAGAAGGAGCAGATTAAGACTCTTAACAATCAGTTTGCCTCCTTCATTGATAAGGTGAGAATTTAGGACCGTGTTTGTTTGGAGGTGAGCATTTTCAATGACTTTCTATAGCGTGGAATGGGAGCTTTTTTTCATGCCAACAAGTACTTGTTAAAGTTTGCAAGACTGATGCCTTAGTAGCAAGCTATTATTAAGGTCTTATTAAGCAATACCGAACAATAGACAAGGTTTTCATGCTAATGGAAGATTAAAGCGAACATCTGCAGTACATTCTGTAGATTCTCTTGCCTAGTCATCTCTTCAGCCTAATTTCTAGTGATTCAGGGTAAAGTCATCAACGTATATTAGCTGTCCTAAGAGTTCCCACTGCTGTGCTTTTCTTTTTGATGAAACGTTCTTTTCAAGGAACTGATTCTATAAACTTAAGAGTGTTAAATACCTTTCCAACAC